CATATATCAATCTGTTGATTTCTTTGGTTAAGCAATAAAGAAACTGCTTGGTCCTGATAGGGTTAAAACATAGGTGGGAGGAGTAAACAGAACAGAATGCTGGGAGGAAGAGGAAGTGAGCTGAGAGATGCCATGCTCCCCTCTCCTGGGCAGATGTGAGATGCAATAGCTCTGCTCTCTGGGGCACACGTGATGAAGCTCCAACCCAGGATGGACGTAGGCTAGAATCTTCCCGGTAAGCGCACCTAGCGGTGCTACACAGATGATTAGAAATGGGCTAAATTAATATGTGAGAATTAGCCTTGAAGAGGCTAGATAGAAATGGACCAAGCAGTGTTTAAATGAATACAGTTTGTGTGTTGTTATTTTGGGGCATAAGCTAGCCAGGCGGCCGGGGTGCTGGGGACGCAGCCCCGCCGCTCCTATTACAACATATGTGCGCATGTTTGAAGATGTGGGGGGAGGACACGTGTGTGAGGATACATGTGCTCTTGAGTACACGTGCATATGAAGGCCTGGAGCTTACTTTATGTAGGGCATCATCTTTGATCATTTGTCCATCTTAGTCGTTGTGACCGTGGCTGTCACTCAAACTCAGAGCTCCCCGATATGGCTATTCTTTCTTGTTGGATTGCTCTAAGGAAACCCCTGTCTGTGTGCTTTAGTCATGGGACCATCTCCCCAGTTCCCAGGATGGCCTTATTTTAACCAGTGATGTCTACAGTGACCCTGTTCCCAAGATAAAGTCAGTTCAGCCCATTGTTTGGCGGACATAGTTTCTCCCCAGAGGAAATAGCATTTTAAGAAATGCTGTCGTCATGTGCTTTCTTATGGGGAAAGAGAATAATGGAGCCACCCGTACCTCCTTTGCTTTCAGCTCTGCTTAACTCATCAGCGAGCCAGAGGCAGGGAGGGCTGATTAGAATTTCATGTATCAAGAAGTCAAACAACAACAACAAAAAAGCACAGTCGTTCTGTGTAGTATTTCTACTGTTGTCGTAAGAATTAAAATATTCATGCACAAACCACTACAAGACAGGAGGTTGAGCTGTTCGGCGATTCTGAGTGTAAGATAAAAGTGTTTTTGCAATTAAATTCTTTTAAAATTGAATTTACTTATTTTATGGGGTGGCATGCGTGAGTTCATTCTCTCCTTCCACCATGTGGGTCCTGAAGATCGAAATAAGTCCTAAGGCTTGGCAGCAAATGTCTTTAGCCACCAAGATCTCTAGCCCTATCTTTGCATTTAAAATGGGAACTTTATAATATAAAAACAAGTGATAAAAACTCATGCTGATGGGTCAAACTTTTCTTTATAAGCACATATTTTAAAACGCTCAAGATTGGGCTGGAGAGATGGCTCATCGGTTAAGAGAACTGGTTACTCTTCCAGAGGATCTCGATCAATTCCCAGTACCTATGTAGTGGCTCACAACTGTCTATAACTCCAGTCCCAGGGGATGCAGCACCCTCTTCTGGCCTCCAAGGGCACCAGGCATGCATGTAGTTCACAGACATACAAGCAGACCAAATACTCAAACACATAAGATAAATAAATAACATTTAAAAAGAGAATCGCTAAAAAAAAGTCAAGCTGATTTGAAGAAAATAGGTGAAAGGGAAAAGAAAGCCCAGCTGTCTGTAGATTTATTGGCACCTTGTCTTACCTTTTGAGCAGAGGTGTCATATTTTCATATGGCACGGCTTTCCACAAATTATGTATTCAGGTTCCCATATTGTCCCGCCCCTGAATTTTATCCCTGGAGGAGACCCATTTCTACTTCCTTCTGAAGATATTCCATGAGACACTGCTCTTTGCCAGAGCTTTCTGCTATCCCTGTGGGGAAATCGTTTGAGCAAAATGTTCCCTTTCGTGTGTTTGAAAATTATTTAATTTAATTATTTATTTAATTAATAATAATAATTTAATACCTAGGAACGCCACAAATGATACATTATCTGTCACTTATTAGCAAATACAGTTAATAAGTGGCAATTAAATAATAACATTTTATTATTTAAAAAAAAGTTCTTGTGGAGTTGCTCTTCAGAACCTGAAGCAAGTTCTGTGTAAAAATCCCTGTGACACCTGTGTGATAGCTACATCCCCTGATTCTAAAACATTTTTTTTTCTTTTTAACTCCATGTGGGCCACACACAGCCCCAGCCCCAGCCATGGAGCCCTGGACAAGGTGTATGATAGGAGCCCGCCAATTCAACTAGGCTTCGGTGGGGCAGAAAGGAGCAAGATGCTAAGAACTTCATGACTGCAGCAGGAGGAAATTAAAGGAGCCATTAACTTCAAAGACCCCAAGGGAACCTTCCAAGCCTCTCTTCCCTGACAGACAGACAATGGACAGGAAGAAGGCTGAGACTAGACAGTAAAAAGTGACCAGACAAGCCTCCTTCCAGCTGGGGAGAGTCTGACTGCCAATCACAGGGTGTTATTTCCCTTGGGCCACCAGGGAGCCGAAGCTTCCAGGTGTGCAGAGAGCAGAAAAGAAAGGGGCTAAAGATGTGGGGAGTGGTCCAGGAAGAGAAAGGGGCTAAAGATGTGGGGAGTGGTCCAGGAAGAGAAAGGGGCTGAAGATGTGGGGAGTGGTCCATGAAAAGAAAGCAGCTGAAGATGTGGGAGTGGTCCAGGAAGAGAAAGGGGCTGAAGATGTGGGAGTGGTCCAGGAAGAGAAAGGGGCTGAAGATGTGGGGAGTGGTCCAGGAAGAGAAAGGGGCTCAAGATGTGGGAATGGTCCACTGAGCAGAGGAGGCTGAGGCCATAATGGAGGAATTGGAGGGATGGCTCAGCTGTTAAAGGTTAGGCTCATAATCAAAAATGTAAGAGTTCGGTTCCCAGCACCCACGGCTGTCCCCCCAGGTATAAAAAAGAAAAAGAAAAAGCCGGGCAGTGGTGGTGCACGCCTATAACTCCAGCACTCGGGAGGCAGAGGCAGGTGGATCTTTGTGAGTTAGAGGCCAGCCTGGTCTACAGAGCGAGTTCCAGGACAGGCTCCAAAGCTACAGAGAAACCCTGTCTTGGAAAATATATATATATATATATATTTGAGTGTTGTGGCTGTAATCCCAACACCCAGATGGTGGAGGCGGGAGAGGACTCAGATATCCAAAGGGTCTGTACCAGTTTGTACTCCCACCAGCAATGCAGGAGTGTTCTCTTTACCCCACATCTTCTCCAGCATAAGTTGTCATCAGTGTTTTTGATTTTGGCCATTCTTACAGGTGTAAGATGGAATCTCAAAATTGTTTGATTTGCATTTCTCTGATGACTAAGGATGTTCAGCATTTTCTTAAGTGTCATTCAGCCATTTTAGATCCTCTGTTGAGACTTTTCTGTTTAGGTCTGTCCTCCATTTTTTAAATTGGATTATTTGTTCTTGAGTTCTTTGTATACTTTGGAGATCAGACCTCTGTTCGACATGAGGTTGATGAAGATCTTTTTCCATTCTGTAGGCTGCTGTTTTGTCTTGTTGACTGTGTCCTTTGCTTTATAGAAGGTTTTCAGTTTCAGGAGGTTCAATTTATTAATTGTTTCTCTCAGTGTCTATGCAACTGGGGTTATATTTAGGAAGTGGTCTCCTATGCCAATGCGTTCAAGTGTAATTCCCTCTTTCTCTTCTGTGAGGTTCAGTGTGGTTGGCTTTATGTTGATCCATTTGGACTGGATAGTGATAGATATGGATCTATTTTCATTCTTCTACATGCTGACATACAGTTATGCCAGCACCATTTGTTAAATAGAGCAAGGCAGTTTTAAAACATTACCCAGAAACATTATCTTTCCAGCACAACCCTTGACGATCAAACTTTTTAGTATTGTTCAGGAATGTTTACCATTGTCCCTCAGTAACTATAGCTACTCTCAGGGTGGATTCCTAGGGGTAAAATTGTGACATTGAAAGTCAGCATTCCTATCATGCATCTGTGTCATCCGTGTGCTCTGCATGGCGGCAGGAAAGCCCCGTATGCAGACAAGGAAGACAGCAGCGCTGAACTGATAAAAGCATCCAGTCTGCTGATGCCTGCGGTGTGCCAGGCACTGTGCTAAGCTCTTGGGACACATCAGCGAACACTACCAACAGCATCCCTATGTGTATACTTGCAGTAAATAGAGGAGATAGAACATGAAGCAGACACTGGCTCTTAACATACAAACACTTAGTCCACGTCTGCGTTCAGTCACGGTAGAAGGGTATGTTCCTATTCTCCAATGATTACCAGAACCTTCTCCAGTGCAGAAATGCAGAAAACCTTAAGCAAGCATGACCCTGGGAGTTAAGGGAGTTAAAGGGTTGTGGGGGTTCGGTTTCTGGAGTACAGTCGTGTGGCTGGTAACTTCCATACACTGAGTTAGCACCATCCTGTCTCTCGTTCCCAGCTTCCTGGCCTTATCTTCCAAACACAGTTCCCATACCTAAATCTTTATCTTAGTGTCTGTTTTGAGGGGAAACCCAAAATAAAACAAATCATAAACAAACAAGTGAAACAAACTAACTAAACAAGGGGCTAATAAGGGCCTCACAGAGAACTGAGATGAGACAGGAGTGAACGAAATGAACGCTCACAGGCTACAGGACACTAGAGCCCGTGAGAGGACTGTAGCCACAGGTGGTTAGTTAGCGGAGGGGGGAGGGGACTGGGATAGGGACTATCCAGACAGGGAACAGTGGGTGCGGCAAAGGTTCAAAGCAGTGATTGATATATTTGCCACGCCAAAGAAAAGAAAGGGCAGCCTGTCTGGTGGATGAGGAAGTGAGGTGGAGACGAAGGCCACATCACGAGGGCCTTTGCGGCAATCCACACGTAAATGACTCAGGATTTTATTATAAACGCCACAGATAAGGAATCAACAAATAGTTTTAGGCAAAAGAGTGATATGGCTTGCACTGCGCTTCCGGGTTATCTGCGCGGCTTTGGCATGCCAGCAGTTTCTGTGGGGGCGTGGGTAACAGGTGTCTGCTAAGGAGACCATTGCAGAACTTCAGGCCGCTGATGGTGGCTTGGACAGGTGCTGTGCACATCAAGGTGGAGATAGGAGATTTGGGATACGTTTCTGTGAAGAATAATGGCAGACAAAATGACAATGGCGTACCTTCGTCTAGACGAGAGATCATCATTCAATGCCCACCGAAATTCCCCAAAGATGGATACCGTTCTTAGCTTCGTGTTACAGATGATGAAGTCAAGGCACAAAGATTGCCTAGAGTAAAGATCTGAATGACCACTTTAATTACCATAGGTCTCCCTCCATACGTATATTCTGCGAGCTACAATTCCTGTGTGTGTGTGTGTGTGTGTGTGTGTGTGTGTGTGTGTGTGTACACTGCCAGGGCTTTGTGCATGCTAAGCAAGCGTCCACTGTCTGTGCTTTAACCTCTGGAGTTCTGTAACCCATCAGAGCCTGTCTTCTTTCTCAGGGATCAGAAACGAGGGTGAGGGCAAGAGGAAGCAAGGAGTTAAACTGAAACCCTGGAGTTCCCAGCGTAAACAAAATTTATGGGTGGTTATTACCCTAGAAGTAGCAGTACTAAGCCTCAATAGACCTGACCCAACTAGAATAACTCAGGCGTTAATGCCTTGTAGTAAGCTGAACTTAGAAAACAGGCCAGTTTGCAAAAGCAGGAGCTTTCCCGCAACCAACCTAAAGGGGCTTGATATGTCCAAGTCAGCATGACAGGGAAGTCCACCTGCATCAGCTCTGCGAAGAATACAACTCAAGTCCATGCCTGCAATCGAGGTACTTGGAAGGGTGAAGAAGGGTCAGGAGTTCTCGACCAACCTGAGTTACACGAAGCCCTGTCTCAACCAGCAACAAACAAGGCAAAAACCAAAAGCAAGCCAAACCAACCACACAAGAAACTTTGAAATAGTCTTGCCTTTTACCTTAGTTACTTTTCTATTGCTGTGAAAACAAACAAACAAAACATGGCCAAGGGAATTTATAGAAGAGTTTATTTTGGGTTTACGGCTCCAGAGATCTAGAGTCCATGACGGTGGAGGGTAGACAGCGGGCAGCAGAGGGCAGGCAGCAGGCAGCAGGTGACTAGAAGAGCTGAGAGCTAACACCTCAAACCACAAGCACGAGGCAGAGTCAACTCATAACGTTGAGTCTTTTGAAACCATAAGATCTGCTCCAAGTGACATGCTTCTAGCAAGGTCACACCTCCTAATCCTCCCCAAACATTCACCAACTGGGGACCAAGTATTCAAGTGCCAGAGACTTATGGGGTGGGGGAGGCATCCCATGCAAACCTCCACAGTTTTGGTTTTCTGTTTCAGATTTCTTCAGCCATTCTGCCAATAAAACTTCTCCGGTTGGCTTAGCTCGTGGCGCATCCTTCTGTTTTGTAGATGTGATGTTATCCAGTGGATGAGTCAAGCAGATCGTAGGGGGTTCACTTGGTGAGTTTTTCCTTTAATATAGACACTGTGTGGTTAGGAGGCCCACCCTGTCTCCAGCCTTTATACCACCTCTGTGGAATCAGGGTTAGACCTCCACCCTCTCTACATTCCTCGTGAGTCCCAACCCCCTGTCTCCTCCCAGTACTGCCTTAAGCCCCTGAGACCTTAAGACCCTGTGATTATGAGAAGCTCAGCCCTCCCAGACCTGCCCTTGTTCGTTCAGACTCAAACCTTTAAGGTTTACTCTGATTTACTCAAATCCTCTGCCTTATTCTGACGCCGTCTCCTGCAACACTGCTGGGCAGTCCTCTCAGCACCTACTCTCAGCTTTCTTAACTCCTGAGGGGAGTTAAAAACAACCCAAAGCCTGGGCTGCTTGCCAGACCAATTATGTTCTTTACGTTTCCCAGGTGTTTAATTTAGGGACCAGCGGAGAACCACAGACCGACCCGGCCTGCTCCTGCCAGATTAGCTTCCCTGGCAGCTGCCTCAGTGGGGGTGCTATCTATCCGGGGTTACCTCTGGATGGTGGGTGTGGCTGTGGGGTGGGTTCCTCCTTGGTCCCCTCACTACGACTGCTTCTTTCTCTGTCGTTGTTGCTGTAAACTCTTCCGGCCGTGAACTTCATGGTCTCAGAGTCCACCTCCCACCCCTTGTCTTCATTACAGTCACCGGAGATTGCTGGAAGGTTTTGATGCCTGGCTTGCTGTCACCAGCCAGCACAGCACCTGCTGGCTTCTCGGTGTCGGCAACACCCAGTCCAGTGGGCGTGTCTTAAAGAACCCTGCCCCTTCCTGCAGTTGCCCACCTTCTCACCACTTCTGATTCTGGTGTCCCCTCACTCCCCAACCTCAACTTTGAATCACTCGCTGGGCTCTGTTTTCCGCCGTTCCCCAGCTCACTTCCTCTAAGCCCCGGACACCGCACAGCCTGGAAACCCTGGAACCTACCCCGTCTCTCGGTCTCACCTCCTTCCTTCACCTCTTCCAGAGTCAACTCCGGCGTGACTCAGCCACCGCCCCCCCCCCCCCCCCCCCCCCCCCCCCCCCCGCCATAAGTGACCACCTGTTGGGAGCTATGAACCTCCAGATCCTGAATTTCTTGTAAACAACTTGTTTTCCTCTGCTCTGAGACAGCCTGCAGCTGCTCTGAGCACGAGACCATCAGGAGTTCCTGAGGGCAGGAGAGTGGTTTCTGGTGGGTTTGGCTGGGGCGTGGCTAGCAGTTAAGGATCCCTATATAAGCGGCTCTGGTACACAATCAAGGGGGCATTCTTGGGGCATTCTGGTTTCAAAGATGACCCGTGTCTCTGTCTGTGAGTCTTTGTGTGTTTCAATCTCCAGCCGCTTGCCCGGTTCACGAACTGTATGGCAGGGCATAGAGCGCAGACAGGTGTGATACGCCACAACCACCTTTAGCCCCCTTGCCTCTTTTGGGTCTTGGGGTGACCTGCGCTTGCTCAGCTGGAGTTCCTTCAACTCAAGTTGAAGAGTCTACTTGTAACACACCATCCAATAAGCAGCCGCGCCTGGCTGGAGAGTCATACAGTCGCAGGGATAGCCTTCCGGTGAACTCACCACCCCGAGGGGCGTTTTCCCACTGTAAACCTTATACTCAGCTGGGCAAGCCTCCTGTATTCTCGTTCAACAGCTCTTAAATCTGGTCCCTGGACCAGTAACATGGGTGTCACCTGGGAGCTTGGAAGCCTTTCACATTCTCATGCCCCAGCTTGGCCCTCCTGAGGCTGCCTCTCCGACTTGCTTTGTCAGGCCCTCCGGTGAGTCTGATGTGTGAATTCGAAGTGAAGCCATTGTTCTAATTCATTCCGTCTTCCTTTCTCTTAGGCAACTATTTCATCCTGTCGCCTCCTGTGCAAACATGGAACGCTTCCTTTTTCTGTGTGAGAACACGGAAGAATGAGAGGAACATCTACAAGCAACTTATATGACATGAACTCTTATGTTCTCTGGCTGAGTGAGAGTTTGCAGTATTCTGTGAGAGACAGTTCTAAAGCCTTGGCCTCAGTCACTGGCCTGGCAAGAGCTAAGCAGCCTGTGGATAAGGGGTGGGTGACTCACCTCCGATGTCAGTTGGTATGTCTGTGACCACGTGCTCTATTTGCCGTTTTGTTAAGGATCTGCTGGAGTCAGAGGGAGACCGTGTCCAGTAAGATCCTCCAATGTGTCGGCTCCAGAAACATACCAAGTCAGACTACTTTGCGCATGCCAAACTGATGTCACAAAAAAGTCGGGTGAGAGAGCATACTGCCTGCTGTTAGCCAAACAAAAAGATATGACCACGGGGAAGGGAAGAGGAGAGGGGCTGCCTAGGGCACCCCTCCCTCACTTCCTAACAGCATGGTAGGAGACACCTCCAGCTTGGAGGAGGGAGTTATGTTCAGGATTTCCGTCTTGGAAGCCAGTACCAGGCCCACCATGGGGAAACCGACTTCTGGGCAAAGCTATGGGACTTCCGCTAGGTCAATACACACATTGAGTCACTGGGATCCTTTTAGGCCAAGGTAACTGACACAGCCACTACCCTGTCACCTACGTGAGGCTCTAAAGTGTGGATTCTGGAGTTACCAATGGGGAACAGAGTATGGAAGCCAGCACAGAAGGGCCCACCATAGTGAGACCCAATGTCTTATAGAAGTCGAGGCCCCGTGGACACCCCAGGGTTCACGATGGAACCCCTCGACCTGCTCAGCATCAGATGGAGATCTGTGTGCTGGTGAGATAGACTTCCATCTCTGCCAAGACATTTCCAGGCTTTCTGTGGGCTTGGGCACACTCATCCTTCTCCTGAGACTGTGCGGGCCATCCACACTGTGAGATTCAGGTGTTATCCTGTTTTCCAGCAGCCTTGGTGCCCAGGGGACTGTCTCCACCTCCCATCCCTGAACCCCAGGCTGCTTAGCTCTTATCAGGCCAGTTTCTGATGACAAGGCTTTAGAACTGTCTCCCCCAGAGAGATAAACCCTGCAAGCTCTCCGTCACTCAGAGAAGGTAGCCGTTCATTTCACAGAAGTTGAGTAGAATCACCAGAGGCGAGTGGGGTGTGTGTGGAGCCATGGGAAAAGGATGAGCAAGGGCCACTGAATTACAGCAAAACAGGCGCAGGAAGCTATGGGGTGCTACTGCACAGCAGGGCGACTGTAGTGTGAATGTGGTATCCGTTACATAAAAATATTCTTGAGGCTGTTTGTGTTTTTGTTGTTGTTGTTGTTGTTGGTTTTGGTTTTTTTTTTGTGGTTTTTCGAGATAGGGTTTCCCTGTGGTTTTGGAGCCTGTCCCGGAACTAGCTCTTGTAGACCAGGCTGGTCTCGAACTCACAGAGATCCGCCTGCCTCTGCCTCCCGAGTGCTGGGATTAAAGGCGTGCACCACCACCGCCCGGCTAGGTTGTTTGTTTTTTTAAAATAGGGTCTCAAGTTGTCAAGGCTGACCTCAAACTCACTCTGTAGCTGAGGATGGCCTTGAATTCCTGATCCTCTTACAGACGTGTGCCTGGCTTGGACTGGCTGAGCCTTTTTTCCCCCCCTCTCCCTCTCTCCTTCTTTCTTTCCTTCCTTTGTTTCTTTGAAACAGGGTCTTGCTAAGTACCCTTTATTGACCCCCACCCCCACCCCCAGGACTCACTATACAGCCCAGGCTGGCCTTAAATCCCCAGTGATCTGACTGACTTCTAGAGTGTTACAGTTGCAGACATGAACCAATAAACTCAGTGAGCATGAACTCAATCAAGGAATGTTAACGCTTGGGGATATAGATAATTTGACATTGTTAGGACATTATACAACATATATATTTCCCAGGCATTACATAGTATCTGTTAATGTGTTTAATTTTAGGCACTTTATTTTTTGTTTGTTTGTTTTTATTTTTCAAGACAGGGTTTTGCTGTAGCTTTGGAGCCTGTCCTGGAACTAGCTCTTGTAGACCAGGCTGGCCTTGAACTCACAGAGATCCGCCTGCCTCTGGCTCCTGAGTTCTGGGATTAAAGGCGTGCGCCACCACTGCCCAGCTAATTTTAAACTCTTTAAAGACCTCTCCAATAAGAAATATGCATTGACTATCCAGGATTCCCAGGCCAAGTCCCACCACTGTCTTCTGTAACAATGTCCATGTGAGTTACACACGACCAGCTTCTCAGTCCTCACAACTCCCATGTCCTTAAGAGCATCGTGATTTTCAAGATAGGAGAGCTAAGCTGAACTGGTGTCATGCTTTGTAATGCCAGTACCTGAGAAGTAAAGGCAGGAGGATCAGGGGTTCAAGGCCATCCCTAGCTATGTGACAAGCTCTAGACCAGGCTGGGGTATATATGATATTTTATCTCAACACACACACCCCACAACCTTTTAAATGCTTAAATGTGTAGTTCAGGGTCATTAATTCCAGTCAAATTTCTGTGAAACTGTCAGCACTGTGTTTAAATCTTTTTATATATATACCAAGGAATCCACACATAGCAGCAACCGGAGCTAATATATAAATTTATCAAAGTCACAGTACAAATCAGATCACTTTTCCCCTCCCTCCTTGTGACTACCTGGTTCTAGCCAACACTGTCTCTTATTTGGATTTGGATTAGGACAATGACTTCCTATATCACTTCTTTTGTCCTTCCCAGTCTGTAATCTAAGTCAGACTGCATCTCTGTTCTACCCAGAACTCTCCAGTGGTTCTCATGGTACCCAACATCCCAGAAGGGCCTTCGTGACTTGGCTCTTGGAACCTCTCTGATGTCTGTTGCCACCTCGATCACCCAGATTCTGAACTAGCAAAATGAATCTTCATTGAGAATACCAGGGGACCTCGAGGGAGCTAGTAGGATTACCAGGGTACATTCTGTACCATGTGAGATTTGTAGACGTGTGTGTGCGAGCGTGTGTGCATGTGCACGCGTGTGAAGGCCAGAGGTTGACATCCGTTGTCTTTCTCGATTGCTCTCCCTCTTTTCTGTTTTCTTTTTTTTTTTTTTAACAGATTGCCAATTCCGTGCCCAGTTCTAGGGACTTGGGTCTGACTAGGGGTGCTGAGAAGGAATGAAGAAAAGGTAAATACGGACAGACAGACAGGCAGGCAGGCAAAAAGCTGGGCTCTACCATGAAGTCCCAGAACTTAGCATTGTAGATGACTGTGAGGTGGGTCCTGGGAATTGAACCCCGGTCCTCAGGAAGAGTAGCCAGTGCTCTTAGCCACAGAGCCCCTGAGCCATCTCTACAGCTCCACAGCTGTTCTTGAACTTCCTTTGTAAGGGTGGGTCTGGAATGTGGGTCCTTCTGTTTCAGTCTCCTGAAGGTGTACCATAGCATGAGGCTGTTTTGGATTTAAAACGAGACTCATCAAAAACAGTTGTGTGTTCTCTCTCCATACAGTTGGGGATGTGTGATGTGGAGAAAAGGGGGGGTTAGGTCTAGCCAGATCAGTATTTTCCTGAGAAGGAATGGTGAGGTGAGAGGGGGCAAGGGCATTAGAGCCAGTGGTGCAAAGGAACACTTACTAATGTTGGGCTCGAAAACTGCAGCAGGCAAAGAGGACATTGAGTTAGGTAATACATATAAACATTTATTGCAAGGCCTGGCACATTATAAAGGCTCAAGAAACATGAGCTGCTGTAACCACAAGCATCCATCCTAAGTCTAGGCTGAGTGTCCTTAAGCCCCCAAATGTCCTGACCAAATGACCTTCATTACTCCTCCGTGGCCTGATACCTGTAACTACATTCGGGTCTCCAGTGGAGAGATGATACTG